GGATTTTTTCGACATTTATTTTACGGTCAAAAGAGCCGTAAAAAGTCGAGAGGGAAAGCGTAGAGAGAGAAAGTAGAGAGATAGTGTGAAGGGCAAAAACGTAATTGGGGGCGGTGATTAGTAAAAGGGGGACGGTAAATAGCGATTCACTTTTTTAAATCTCTTTGTTCAAAATTCTTTTGAGATTATTAGAATATTCTGTATATATAATATTCGAATGTAATGAGTTTAAGTGGCAGACTCGCATGCTTTGAAATCTTAGGTGTCAAAAATTCATGTTTTGTTATCTATTATTACTAGTACAACGCCCGTGTATTACACGGTGCTTGCTAACTTTTTCTGAAAATCTAAAATTAATGAGAAAAAGGTAGTTGAAAATTTAAATATCTTTTATAAAAATATATATATTATTATATATTTAGTATGACACTTATTATTTGTGAAACTTACATGTGTTATATTATAATAATTTTTTAAAACCTACAACATACAACTACATTAAATATAAATATATATCAATTGAGAAATAATTTTATTTTTCTAATGAATTTTAATAAATAATATTATTTATTATTATTATAAAGATAAATATATTTTATTTATTTTATATATACAATATGGATGTCAAATCGAAGATCATCAAAAGAGGATTAATTTGATATATTAAAATGTAAAACTGATAAGAAATACAAAAGTTATCAATTTTTAAAATACATTTATAATTCAATAGTTAATTGAAGGAAACAAATCAAAAGTCAAGGATATATTAGTCACTTAGTGACTCATTATGTAAAATTACAAAGAAATAAAGGGTTATATTAGTACAAGTGATATTAAAATACATAAGTTAACTAAATAATATTTATGGAATGTCCAAACCTAAAATATTAATTATTACTATATCAATATTACTTGACCAAACCTAATTACGAAGCATGATTCTTTGCCAAGTAGGATTCTGAAATACCAGAAGCAGCCACGTAGGCTCAGCGCATTCGGGAATAATATATAGGGAGGATATAAAAGAGCTAAGGAAAAATATATAATTAGTAAGTCATTTTCCCGCTCATTTTTCGTTTTATAGTATTTGTGGTAATTTTTTTCGAAAATTTTGAATTCTCCTGCCTGTGATGTTTTTGAGAATTTTTGGAAAAAAAAATCAAAAGTCTAAATAAAAAGATCACATGAAGATTTTTTTGAAGATTTCATATTATCTAACTTTCATACAATAGGAATGGGACACTTTTCCTATTTTCATTGGTCCACTATAAATTTTATATGATAAGATAAGTATAACTCAAATTATTGATATTATTTTATATTAAAAATAAAATAAAAATATCAAAATTCGTATTTTTCCATACTTTATAAATAAAGATCACTCTTGATATGTTTGGGAACACAATTAAAATTATTATGCTGGGTTAGGTTGTAGATAAAATAATACCAAAAAATATATTGTAGATAATATTTATTAAATAAATAAATAAAAATAAAACAAATATCATACTATCTTTAGTGGGTCACCACCTAAAAACAATAAAAGAATAAAAAAAATAGCAAAATCAGCGACCCAGGTCAAATTGTGACCCGGGGTCACAACCTAGCCACAAAGAGGGAGAGAGAAATAAGGTGAGTGGAATGGGGACAGTGTCTCGTTCTTATTGGTCTATAATTTTTTTTTAATAAGATAATTGTAACTCAAATTATTGATATTAATTTATATGAAAAAAATAAATAAAAAAATATTTTTTCATTCTCTATCAATAGAAACCACTCTTGATATATTTTGGAACATAATTGCAATTTCTCTCTTTTCACTCTTTTTTCTTAATCGTAACTTATCAATTTTATCATATCTTTTATTTTATCATATCACAACTAAAACACATAACAAAAAATTTATTGTAGATAATATTTAATAATAAATAAATAAAAATAAAATAAATATTATGTTGGGTTGAGTTAGGTTGGGTTTGGAATAAAGATATGTAGGTTGTTAAAAGTTAGATTGTGTAGGTGGAAGAGAGAGAAATATTTTTTTATTATTGGGTTGTGTTGGGTTAGGCTGTGGATAAATATAGTCTTATGTTGGGTTGAGTTGGGTTGGGTTGAGGATAAAGATATGTAGATTGTTAAAAGTTGGGTTGTGTAGGTGGTGAAGAGAGAAATAATTTTTTATTAATAGTTTGAGTTGAATTGGATTGTGGATAAATATAGTCTTAGCGCACAAAAGTTGGGTGAGGAAAAATCATGTTTTTTTTCATGTGTTTTGGACATGATTTGGACTTCTAGGGTTCTCATTAGTTATATTATGGAGATCATTTTTTTTTTCACTTTTGTGTATTTTTATCAATCTTTTTAAATATCTGAATAATCTTTATTTAAACCAAGTAACGTGTTTTCAATTCTGAAAATTTCGTTCATCCCACCTAAAGCAAGTTTTTTTTAAATTGCTATATGAAATTGCTTAAAATAAATATTGGATGGTTTTGATTTGTTAAAGAAAAAAAAAATAGCTCTAATTTAAAGTTTGGATTCGTTCAATTACTTTATGTACATTAACAATCATAGTGGTAACACAAAACTCCCCCACCGGCTGGAACTTGAATAATCGCCTTCCTTCTCACCGGTTGAACATCGGTCACCTACAAAGAACTCTCACACCGGAGGGGTTTTCCGGTGAAGAGCCTCTGAAGCTTAAGTCAGTGTATGTCCAATCAATTCTCAAGAGTAAGTCATAGAATGATCGTGTTGAAGAAGAAAGGCTCACCCCCTTTATATAGGGGTGAGATACCTGACCTAGGGCTGCCCGGATTTGATGAGCTGTCTGCCCTAACTGCCCGTCCGTACACACAATATGCGTGTGTCAGAGGTAGTCGTCGCCACTATCGCCTGCCCCAATACTCTTTGGACGCGTGTCCTCCTGCACATGGGTTAGGCTGTCAGAGGTGGTTAGTGCTATCAACCAATAAGTCCTCGACACGTGTCCTCCTGCACATGGGATGAATATTCTTCTGGAATTCCGTTAGAGGCGCTCACACGCGCCTGTGACTAGGCCGATTCATCAGAGTGTTAGGTCTGCAAGATGATCGACCTGTTGAGGTCGACTGAGTTGCTCGATCACTCATCTAGTCGAGTGATGGGTTGGTCGACTACTTGATTGGTCGACAGGTAAGCTGCTCGATCTTTCCGCCACTTGGTTCGGTTCCTTCGTGATATGGCCTCCTCGTCCGGTTCAGCAGACCGGTTTAGCCTGGTAGGTATAATATCCTATATCATCTAGTCCCCCTACTCTGGTCGAGTCTGAATGACTCGATCTAAGAGTGAATTTGTGCCCATCGACCTCCTGGATAGCATGGTGTCCGATATCGACCATATGATGGATTTTCCGCTTATTTTTTCAAATAATACCTCCTTAATTGCCAGAAATAAGGCCGCATGTCACATGTCATTTCTGTCGCGCCTGCTTTTCTGCCACGCGTCACATCTAATGCATTTGTCAGTCACTTTAATGGTAACATCTCCTCGCATAACGCGCCCACTTTGAGTTCCGTGTGGGCTAACGCTTTCCACCGTCAAATCTATCTTTAATCTGACGGCTCTCCTCTCTCAACTCTTTAACTCTCCAAGTATAAATTCAGTACTTAGCGAATTTTCTGAGTTTTTTCACCTTTGTGATTTCGAACTCTCTTGTGCTCAAACATCATTTTTGCA